TAGAGAGGACTCCCTCGCTCCATGGTGTGGCTGATGATCAGAGGAGACACCAGGAAGATGCCGTTACTCCTGAGGGGGTTCTCCACCTGGATGTCCAGCTGGCACACGGGGATCACCTCGCCTTCTGACGTCACCGTGCGCCGGATCACCTGAAGAGAAGATTTCAGTTTTGTGTCTGTATCTTCAGGATTGTTTTGGTTTGTATGCGTGATGAGCTCAGGTGAAGTTGTAGGTCACCTGCAGCTGGACGGTGGCTGAGATGATCATGCTCTTCCTCAGATCTCCCACTCTGAACATGAAGGTCGGGCGGCCATTTCGAGGAGCGATGACGGCGTTTTTGGAGAAGATGAGTGTTTCTGCTCGCCGGTTGGCCTGCGCCGTCTTCATGAACACGCAGCCGAGCATCACGGCGTTGATGATCAGCCCCAAAATGTTCTGAATGATCAACACGGTGATGGCCAGCGGACACTCCTCCGTCACCATCCTGCCACCAAAACCGATGGTCACCTAGATGGGAAACATCCAGGATTACCAAAGACAGACGTCTACACCCGCATCAGCAGGAAGCAGCTCTCACCTGGACTTCGATGGAGAAGAGGAAGGCCGAGGTGAAGGAGTGGATGGCTGTGACGCAGGGGACTGGGCCCGGCTCGCCGTTGGGGTCGCGGGGCTCCAGGTCTCCGTGAGCGAAGGCGAGGAGCCACCAGATCATAGCGAAGAGCATCCAGGAGCAGAGGAAGGCGGAGGTGAAGATGAGGAGGGAGTGCTGCCACTTCAGGTCCACCATGGTGGTGAAAACGTCCTGCAGGAAGCGACCCTGAACCACACCACAAAGCCTCCCGTCAGCAAACCCAACAGACCGTGGAGTGCGTCCTCTCTCTTTTTCCTCGTTCTACCCCCCGACCTTTTCTTCCCGTCGCCCAGAACAACATTTAACTTATTCTGGACTCAAAGTAAAAGGATGTTTAACAGATAAAAAGCGCAGTGGAGCTCTAGACGCTCCCGTTCTGCCACAGAGCAGCAAACGTCCTGCATATCTGAAGCTTTCATTGCATCGTAACCAAACACTCGCCGCTCTACCTGCTCCCTGATGTTCTTGTGAGCCACGTTACAGGATCCGGTCTTGGTGATGAAGCGGGCTCTCTGAGACCTCGAACGGCTGCGGTTTGGCTGGTTCTGGTCCTCCGCCAGCCGGGTCAGCAGGAAGCCGTCCGGCAGCAGGCCCTTCCTGGCCAACATGACGCTGCGCACATGAAAAATACAACAAGGTTTGTCATCAACACCAAGAAAACAGCAGATTTACAGCATATCGTTTTCAAGTGAGGCAAAAAATGATGATTTCATAAATACTGTAAAAGAAATTTGTCAATAATCTTCTGAACTGTTACTTCCTGTTACTGATGAGACGAGATGCTCGATTCATCTCTGAAATCCCAAAGACATTTAAATTAAACGTAAACTAAAAACACAACAGTAACATAATAATAACATAAAAACAAAAAAGATAAAAAGCTCTAAATAGTAAAACAACTCAATTAAATAACAAAATAAAACAATAAAAAACTGCAAACACGTGCATGTGCGTGCACGTGAGCCATGTTAGATCTTTATTATATAACTGTAATATTATTGTGTTATTTCCTCTTTATTTTGTTAATACAATGAATACGTAAATATAAACAACAATAATTTATCACAGTTCAAAAATAATCAGTTAAAACTAATTTAAAAACTGTTTCAAGTTGACTAACCCTGTTATCATTCTGTAACATATTATATTATATTATATTATATTACATTACATTATATTACATTATATTATATTAAATTACATTATATTACATTACATTATATTAAATTACATTACATTATATTACATTATATTATATTAAATTACATTACATTACATTATATTAAATTACATTACATTATATTACATTATATTATATTAAATTACATTACATTACATTATATTACATTATATTAAATTACATTACATTATATTAAATTAC